AGTGAACCATGGCACCATTTATAAACTTGACCACATTTAAATCTTTCTGCACGTTTCCTAACTCATGCCAAATCCTGTTCATCTATCACCTTCACTGACCTACATTGACCCCCAGTCTGGCAACAAAAAGTCCTAGGGGTGCAGGTGCAGAGTTCCTTGAAAGTGGAGTCACAGGTAGACATGGTGATGAAGAAGGCATTTTGTACACTTGCCTTCATGGGTCAGATCATTGAGGATCGGAGTTGTGATGGCATGTTGCGGCTGTACAGGATATTGGTGAGGCCACTTTTGGAATACTGCGTGCAATTCTGGTCACCCTTCAATAGGAAGGATATTGTTAAACTTGAGAGAGTGCAGAAAAGATTTGCAAGGATGTTGTTGGGACTGGAGGGTTTGAGCTTTAGAGAGAGGCTGAATAGGCTGAGGCTATTCTCCCCGGAGCATTGGAGGCTGAGGGGGTGACCTTACAGGGGTTGTAAAATCATGAGGGGCATGGATAGGGTGAATAGCCAAGGTCTTTTTCCTAGAGTGGGGGAATCCAAAACTACCGGGCATAGGTTTAAGATGAGAGGAGAAAGATTTAATAAGAACCTGAGGGGTAACTTCTTCATGCACTGGGTGGTGCGGGTATAGAATGAGCTGCCAGAGGAGGTGGTGGAAGCTGGTACAATTATAACATTGGAGGGTATATGAATAGGAAGGGTTTAGAAGGATATGGGCCACATGCTGGCAAATGGGACTAGGTCAGATTTGAATGTCTGGTTGGCGTGGACGAGTTGGACTGTAGGGTCTGTTTCCATGCTGTATGATCCTATGACCTCATTTCAAGTTTTGCGGTTTCAAATCATTTCCATACGTCACCCTGTGCCTGTCTCAGTTAAACCCCTCCATCCCACATCTCTGTGCTCCTTCAATTCATGCCTCTTTCATCATTCCACCATTGATGACTGTGCATTCAGCTGCCTGGGCTTTAAGCTCCATAATTCTCTTGCTAAACCTCAATGCCTTTTAGCTTTTTTAAGTATCATCTCAAATAACCTGTTTCCTCGAAGCTTTTAGTCACCTGTAGTATCTCTTTACATGGTTCTGCATCAACGTAATGCCTGTGAAGTGCTTTGAAGTTTTTCTACATTAAAAGCTTGACATAGCCGCAAGTTATTAATGACAGTTAGAAGATTTCAGCTTAAACGCTATATATTTGCTTTGTAATCTTTAGTGGAAATGAAATGCTGTAGGGTGGATCTCAAGAAGTTACCAGTTTAAGGTGTTGGAGATGACGAAGGTTTTTTGTGTGAATGTTGGTACATTACCTGAGCTTATCAATGATCCTTTGCCCAAAACAGTTAGCGATCGAATGCAGCGCAGTAAAACTGCACATCACATCATAATCATACACCATTTTTTTGTTTAAACCATTGAAATATCTCCCCTATATGCTGTCTGCTAGGTGTTTAGCTGGAGAGAGGCCTGCAGTGTAGGCCTCACCAGTTTTTCTTGTGGTGGAGAGGTTATTCAGAGGTCAGGGTGCAGTATACCTCAGCCAGTCCTTTTGAAGACGCTCTCCGTTGGTGGTTGATTGACAAGAGGGGCCGTGTCTGTTATCTCCTGGAGGCGGACAATGTGCCAATTGTTCTCCAAAGGCCTCGGTTCCTCGCGCCTGAGAAGTAGCTGCCCTTAATGAGAGGGAGGCTCAATTCTTTTAGGCCCAATTTACATTTGGGGCAGACACGGGGCCCCTCATATGCTTACTGTGTTTCACATGCAGCCACTGAAGGCCCTGCTTGAAGGAGCAGCACCTCAGAATACAACTGACAGATTCAGTCAGTTCTCCTGGTGCTTCCACTCTCTTTTCATATTCTGAATTGTCACTGTGCTTTCCCTTTCTCAATAAGCTGACACAGGAATACATTGACAGAGTGCTCCCAAGTTTCTGAATACGTGTTTTGTTGAGATTCTAGAGAGCTGTAGAATATAAATTTCTGATCTGAATTTAGACAATTCCACTTAGCGGCCATGGACTTTTTAAATCTTCAGTCAAACAGCCGGGCTGTGATGACGTAATCTTTGTGAGAAGATCCATTTACGTTAGCAAATATTTCCTTCTAAATTCCCAGGCATTGTCTGTCCTTCCCAGGTTATTTCACCTGCCCCATTCCTCATAGGCTTCTAACCTGCCCAATCTATGCCCATTTCCACTGATTCCTGCAGAGGTATTGCTTCACCTGATTCTGTTGGAGTGCATTCTGAACGATCATGTGACTAATGAGCCCCCAGTTATCCACTCCACTTTGAACTTGGAAAGAATCTTCCTGTCAAGGGTGAACTCTTAATTTTACTGCAGGAAACCTGAGGGATTCACAACTAAACACCATTTGGTGGGCCTGGATGAAACTATAAGCCAGTTGAAGGAGAAGAAAACTCCAGACCTCTAGTGCACAACAGCTGAATCCCATTGTTGAATTGTGGCATTCACATGTGCCCGTCTATTAGTTTTTGGAACATTAACATCTAACACCTTATGCAGTGCACACTAAAAATCTCTCTGAGGCTTTGAAACTTCAAAGCAGCAGCAGAAATCTCTGGAAAATTGACAGGAAGATGATCAGTCACAAAGTGAGGTGACGCTGATGAAAGCCAATGCACCTCCATTTTCTGATAGTAGAATAGAAAACAAGGGAGATCCGCATTTGTATAACACAAAATCATATCTCTATTTCATATGCAATAGTTACTCAAAAGTACAGCAATTCATTTTGAAACAGTCAGTAAACACTGTACACACACAACACAATTCAACAAATGAGGGTTGGTAAACAATTCATTCATTTCTTGGGTGTTGAACAAAGCACAAATGATGATGGATCCCAGAGATCTCCTAGCATTCTTCAGATATTGCAATGGGATCTTCCAGTGGTACTACCAGTTTAATTTTCCCTCGGAAAGATGGCATCCGTACAATGCAGTATGACCTGTCCCAAACAGCAATTAATGTGTAGGTTAGCAAAGGTGCCATTCATGCTTTTGTAAAATGAAGTTTTAAAAGGATTTTGTTTTAAGTGCCAATAATTGGTTATGAGCTATCTGTACAGTTTCAATTGAAAGTTGTATGTAGTTCAGTTATATTCAGGTTTATCATGTAATCCCTTGTTATATACAGTTGTGTGGTTTTTAGCCAGTAATCTGAGTTTATGCACTTAATCTCCTCAGATAGCACAGCAGATCGCATACGTACAAATTTACTTGTTGGAAATTATGACAAAACTTCTGCAGTTCTCAGGTTTCAGCTTTTGCTTCTGTCTTGATTCAATCCTGAATGTATGAGCATGGAATCACTTCCATTGGTCAGAATATTTCAGTGAAAGGAAAGAAGGATTTGCATTGATATAGTGCCTTTCATGACCATGGGGCATCACAAAGTGCTTCCAAAGTGTAGTCACTGTTGGAAGAAAGAAAAATGGCAGCTGCTTTGTGCACTGTGAGGTTTCACAAACAGCAATGAAATAGTGTCAGAGATAGTAGGAACTGCAGATGCTGGAGAATCCGAGACAACAAGGTGCAGGGCTGGATGAACACAGCAGGCCAAGCAGCATCATAGGAGCAGAGAGGCTGACGTTTCAGGCCTAGACCCTG